TACAAAAAAAATGCCTTAAAAGCTATCTAATGAGCATTCCAGTTGGCGTAAGATTCTTTTAAGATGAGCGGCCCTGTGAATAGCTTAAGCGAACGAAAAAATACTACACCGTAGTTAGGTATGAAATGATATAACGATAGCAAACTACTCTTCAAAAATGGCTTACTAATCATCGCTGTTAGTCGGGCTAGGAGTAAGTCTCTTTTCAGTTGAAAATGATGGAAGAGAAGGAAGAGAACTTCCAGGCTGCTCAGCTTCTTCATTCTAAACGTATCAAATATATTCAATGGATTGAATTTTAAAAAAAAACTATGGTTGTTAGATCATGACTCAAACAACTGTTGCTGAAGCAGAAGAAATAGTAGCAATTTTGAGAGAGAAATTTTACGTACGGGCATATTATTCCTAATGTTAGTTTCGTTGTCCTCCTTTTTGAGCATTTCAGAGGATTTCAGACTTGCAACAATATCATCGCTAAGGTCATAGTCTTCTAAGGTGAATTCGAGAGAGGCAACCTGAAATATAAAATGGAGCAGAGAACTTGAAATCCGTAGAGCACAAAACCAACCAAAATTCCAGCCAATTTGCGTCGTACTATAGGTTCCGATGGAACTCCAGAGGGATTTCTTAAGAAAATTGCTTACAAAGGGAAATTATTTTCTAAACTAAAACTGGGAAGGAAGGCTTTACATGTTTTCTGCGTTAGGATCAGGACTGGGGAGGGATTCGCTATCGTCAGATGATCGATGAGTGGAAACTTCGAAGTTGTTAGGCGGTGGAGAATCGCATACACTCGGTGATCTTAACGAAAAGAGGGGCGTTGCACATACAACTTCACAGCAATGACAATACTTTCATTACCTTCGAGTTGAAGTTCCAGAATCAGGGAGAACAAAATCATAATTAGAAGATGAGCATTCCCTCTCTAAAACACACACGCTCTTTTCGGCAACATTTGCTGCCTTTCCAGCAAAAAGAGCTCGTTTAGCAGATCTTTCTGCATGTGGTCTTTTTGATAAGAGTTCACGATCGTTAAACGAAGAATGCCTGAATTCGATTACAAGTTTGATTAAACGTATACATAACATAGAACTTGGTGATTCAAGAGAAAAGGGAAGAAGCGCATTATCAGTAAAAAGATGCAGTCATTCTCACCCAAAATTCATATTATCCTGTGATGATGGAGTCGCCATATTTGAAAGTAGATCTTCTTTTAAAAGATGCAGAACTTCCACGGGCTCGGCTTTTTCTTGGAAAGCCAAGTCAAGAATCTCCTTAAATATGATGTGATTTTCCAATGAGAACATCCTTACTGTTATAGTGAGTTGAAGATGAATTTGCCAACAGAGAAAAACGACTTGCCATTTTCTTTGAGACATCACGATAAGTTTTACACCATTCTACATAGAATTTAGCACATCGTCGGTAAGAACCCTTTCGATACAACCTCTCAAAAATTTCAGATACCGTCAACGATTTGGAGTACTTAGTCTGAAGATTTGTTATATTAAGAGAATATGAAATCGTTTACTGAAAGGCTCACCAGCATGCTGTAGATTGGAAGCATATTTTCATAATTAGCAAATGGCGAATCCGGTCCATAGTTATCTAAGGCTTCCTTCAATACCTTCTGCATAGCAGCTTTATTTCTCTGTCCAAAATGCTTCTCGAATAAGATTATAGTTCTAAAAAATTCATAGGTCAATATTTCGGAGTTTTGCATTTACTTTTTAACAGAAAATGAGATTTGCATTACCTTTCTTAAGCAAAGTTATAAAAAACCTTTGCATCTCATTTCTTGATTTTCTCTATACATGTCAAGAAAATGCACACATTTTTTTGAAGTTTTCTTTGCAACATGAGCCTCTAGGTTACACAGTTTGTAAAAATGCGTAACTTCCATGAGCTTATTACTTCACAAACTTGACCACCTTTCAAGCAAAATTCATGAAAAACCAAGAAAAAACAAGGAAGGAGAGTTATCCTAGCCACTAGATCTGTCTGATGCCCAATCTATAAAACATACAACAGATTTGGATCTACTTGTCGTCTACTTAAGAAAGGAAAAGAAAAATCCGATAAGAATTTAAAAGGCAAGAAAACTGCACCAGAAAAGTGGAGCAATAAACTGTTTTATATTTGTTCATCTAGAATAAATCATTTTCTGATCGAATTCTGGAACGTGTGCTTGAGCAACGGAAAAAGAACGCGTGATTTATAACTGGCCAACATTTCGTGCTCTCAGAAACAAGAATACACACATTTCAAAACGCGAAAT